TTTCAATTATAAAGCTATCTCTCCACCACACCATGAGCCTGATGTGCAGCAGATCGCTAATAAACTGTGAGTTAATTTTATGTCCTTTTAATGACTCACATTGCTTCTGCTTCAAAGTTCTAAGCTTAGCATTCAAGGGTACCTAATTTTCCTTCATTCAGTTAGTTCTCTTTCTCCAACCACCACCATAAGCCCTTGGAGGACAACGAGCCCTGCCTCAGAGATCGGCATGGCTCCAATGCAGGCGCACGGCCCTGTACACCAGGAGTGATGGCAACACTCTGGGCCATGCAGGCTAAGTGATACTTCTAGCCGGCCCATGTATTACATCCAGGTACAGTTTCACTACTGCTTTACTAGGACTCTTAAACTATTACTCAAAATGCAACAATGAATCCAAGTTCTTTAAAATTATGCCATTGTTTTAACTAAAACTATAAATGGGAAGTTTTCCTTTCATACAGACTTTATAACAATGCGTATTCTCTTAAGTATGATCATTTTAAAACATACAGCCAAATTTGTTTTCCAAAGAAACACATTTTTGTTTTACAAGTAAATTGGCAATTAACTTCATTTACTGAAATGAACTTTATTAAAGACATCTACACCATAAAACAAGATACACCAGCAAGAACTCTTATCAAGTTTATGCTAATAACCTACTGCTTTTTCTTTTCTTTTTCCATACAGGGTCTCTGTCACCCAGGCTGGAGTGCAGTGGCACGATCTCAGCTCATGCAACCTCTGTCTCCCAGGTTCAAGCAATCCTCCTACCTCAGCCTCCCAAGTAGGTAGGACTACAGCCACCATGCCTAGCTATTTCCGTTTTTGTTTTTTTGTTTTTTTTTAAGTTGAGACAAGGTTTTGCCCTGTTGCCCAGGCCAGTCTCGAACTCCTTAGCTCAAGTGATCCTCCTGCCTCAGCCTCCCAAAGTGCTAGGATTACATGTGGGGGCCACCAAGCCCAGCCTCCTACTGCTTTTTCCATTGAAAAGCCCAGTTGCTAAGCTAAAGCATAATAATAATAACAGGGCCCTAAAATTAAGAAAACAAGACGCATATACAATGCGGACACACAGGCATCTCCGTACCACTCTCTAAGGCCACAAACACTTAACATCTGGGAAAGCTCTTATTCATCTTGTCGCTGTTCCTTCCAAAGTGAAAGTCATTTCAAAGAAGACTGCTTCTGCTTCTTGCTAACAATAGTTTAAAGGCCAATTTGTTCTTGGCTTACAATGGCTCCATTCTGCAACGTGGTAAAACAAGGCGGTATTCAGAAGGAAAAGGCCAAAACACCTGTCAGTGCTGCAGACCCTCCCCCATCCTCACACCACATGGGGCCCCATTCTAGCTCCTTATAGGACTCTCCCTTTCTGTTCAGGCAAATAGGGTCTTACAAGCGGTGCTAATAATATGGAATGAATTCTGGATTGGCAATTGCAATCTTCTTTCATCTAGAGAAAAATCCAAAGCAATATAGAAGAAATAAGAGCACCCATCCTTAAACAACTTCACAGGAACACTTGTTAAAACAAAATGATGTGTGAAAAGAGATGTCTCAAAATAGCAATGACACATGAAAATCTAGACATATTTCAGCTTAGTTTACGAGCTAAGACTACCTCTCTCACAGCATGATTAACAAACGTGCGTAATGCCTCTCAGAAGTAAAGAGAAGCAGAGACTGGAGTCCCACGTGTCCAATGACACTTCATTCTACTTTGGAAACTGCTCTAGGCCCCACCCTTTCTGCTGCCCAGAATCTCTCTTTCTAGGAGCTGATTGTGAAATTCTCTTCCACAGGTGATCACAAGGCTGTGCCCCGGACAGGGTCTACAACAGCAGAATACACTGCACTCAAGAAAACACGAAGCTTATTCTGAGGGTCAGCTAGGAGGGATGGGAAGCAAGGGTCTACGGCGAGGTAGGCAGATCCAGGCCAGGCTGCTTTTATAAGCAAAGCTGAAATGGCGCAGCCCAGCCTGTCCTCTTACAACTCGTCTATGCTTGCTTCTGAAGTACAACAGCAGAGTTGAGCCGTTCAGACAAAGACCATTTGGCCCTTGCCAGAGAACTTCTGCCAACCTCTGCTCCAGAGTGTCCAGGGACACAAGGACAAGAGGAACAGCACAGGGGTGAGTTCTCTGAGTTTCCTTTTTGCCTCACATATCTCAAATAAAAACTGAAGAAGAAGGCAATCTGCAAACATGAAGGGTGCAGACGAAAAGAACACCTGCTCTCTCTGTCTGAAGGAACAGAAAGGGGCCTGTCTGGCAAGACAGAACATTTTTAGATAATAACCACTCTACTCCAGACAGGACCCTAAAAAACAGCTGTGGCTCCAGTCCCATCCACACCAGCAAACGCTGAGTGTGAGGCCTAAACTTTTACCATTGTGAAGTAGTAACGAGATCCTCCAACACCTGTACGTCCAAGGGTGGGGTCCAAGAAAGCCAAGTAGGGGGCCAGGACTTTCCAGCTCCACTGGCAGTCATGACCAGCCCCCTACACTACTGCGCTATCAATGAAAACAACATGGGGGAGTGAGATTCCCACCAACTATAACAAAGAGCTCCAGCCACACCCCCTCAATGCCAACAGTGGCTAAATAAAATCTGAACTTCTATCTCCACCTGGCAATAACAAGGCAGTGGCCCACCACCACTTGCCAGAGCAATGCCATAAGTCAACTAAAACACAAGGGTTAAATAAGATCCAAACTATCCAGATTTCAACTAAAAAAGAAAATCGCTCGTCCTACCAAGAAGCTAGATCTCAAGCTGCACAGCATGAAGAAAATACATGCCAGCACTGACAGAACAGAGATGTTCAAGTCACCTGACAGACTTTAAAGCAGTCATACTAAAACTCTATCATTAACAAGGACACACATGCTTGAAACAAACAAGAGAAAGAGGCAGAAAAGAAAAAGAGGCTCAGCTCAGGAAAGAAAAGCTATAAGGAAGTAACAAAAGGAAATTTTAGAACTGAAAAATATGACAACAGAAGTAAAAAGCTCAGTAGATGTGTTCAACAGCAGAAAAGAAGGAAGAAGGAATCAGTGAAATGAAAGGTGGAAAAGAAAGAATTACCCAAACTTAACGAGAGAGAGAAATCGAGAAACAGGCCAGAATGAAAAAAAAATTAATAGAGCCACAGGGACTTGTGGGACTACGAAAAAAAACTATCATTCTCATCATCAGAGTTCCGAGGGAGCACAGACAGAGGGCAGGGCTTAGAAAGTACATGAAGAAATAATAGCTGAAGAGTTCTGAAATTTGACAAGAAACAGAAACCCAAGATTCAAAAAGCTGGTTAAACCTCGAAAAACTAAAGACAGAAAAATTTTTGAAAGCAGCCAAAGAAAAATGACATGACACCTACCTATAAGGAGAAAAACAATTTCAATGACAGCTGATTGTTCATCAGAAAACACGAAAAGCCAGAAGAAAGTGGCACAATGCTTGTTAGACGTTGAAAGAAAAGAAATGACAACCCAGAATCCTATGTCAGCAAAAATATCATTCAGGAATAAAGAGAAAATCAAGATATTTTCATGAAACTAAGAGAAACTGTCACCAGCAGACCTACCCTGAAAGAATGGTTACACGAAGTTCTCTAAATGAAAAGGAAATCAAACTAATCAACCTTGGAACATCAGGAAGGAAGAAAGAGGGTGTGTAAAAACATAAGTGTAAAAGGTTTTCTTCTTCTGGAATTTTCCAAATTACGTTTGACAATTGAAGCAAACAGTGTAACAGTGTCTAATGTGGTTCTAAAGGTATGTAGGAGAAATATTTAAGACATTTACATAGCTCCCACATGTATCAAATAACCTGTTATAAACAAAAGTGTTCAATGAATTATAGTGAAAGATTACAAACAAATGTCCATTAAGCGATGGCAGCTTAAGTAAGTAATGACACAGCCATAAAGCAGAGTATTATGTAACTATTAAAAAGACAGTTAGGCCAAGCACTGTGGCTCACACTTGTAACCCGAGCACTTTGGAAGACTGAGGCAGGAGGATCACTTGAGCCCAAGAGTTCAAGACTAGCCTGGGAAATATAGTGACATCTCTAAAAAAAAATTTTTTTTTAATTAGTCAGGCATGGTGGTGTGCACCTGTAATCCCGGGCACTTTAGAGGCTGAGGCGGGAAGATAGCTTTAGCCCAGGAGGCTGAGGCTGCAATGAGCTGTGATTGTACCACTGTACTCCAGCCTGACCTTGTCCAGAGCAAGACCTTGTCTCAAAAAGTAAGAACTCTGAAGGTATGCTGTTATGGACAATAAGCAGGGCCACAGCAGTGTGTCCTGGATGCTATCATTTGTATGAAGATAAATACACAGGCAGAGACTCTCTCTCTGGAGAGACACACAAAAGCTGGTAAGAGTATTTGCTGTCAGGCAGAGAACTGGCATCTAGGGATCAGAGTAGGCTGTGGGAGGAAGGGACAGGTTTCCCTGTATACTATTTTCATTCCTTTCCAGTTTATTGTCTATTTAGTATAATCTAATTTTAGAAACTTTTAAAAGAAAGTGAATAATTCCCAACCTGAAGGCACGACTTGGAAGGATTCAGCTAAAGCTAAGGGGAAATGATAAAATAGTGCTTCCATGACAGCTAGGTGTTTACATGTATTTAAACATGACTACAGATTTTATGACATCCTGGAAAGGAAAAAAAAACAAACCTATTCTCACTCTATTCATACTAGCTCCATCAAAAAGGAATTTTTTTTTTTTTTTGAGACTTCAGAGTCTGGCTCTGTCGCCCAGGCTGGAGTGCTGGAGTATAGTGGTGTGATCTCAGCTCACTGCAACCTCTGCCTCCCCAGCTCAAGCAATCCTCCCAACTCAGCCTCCTGAGTAGCTGGGACTAAAGGCATGTGCCACCATGCCTGGTTAATTTTTTGTATTTTTTGTAGAGACAGGTTTTTGTCATGTTGCCCAACTGATCTCGAACTCCTGGGCTCAAGTGATCCTCTCCCCTCCACCTCCCAAAGTGCTGGCATTATGGGTGTGAGCCACTGTACCCAGCCTGAAAAAGATACTTTTGACAGTCAAATAATAATTTATTGGAAACTCTTCTATGAATGTTGATCCTAAGGCCACAGCTAGGGAACAATCTGATTTCAAATCATTAGGCCTTTGCCTGAAGACACAGCAAATGTGACCTCAGACCCTCAAGGATCCTGGCATTGTAAACCCAGTTTGGTCAAGTGACACTGACACGGTCTGGCTCTGCATCCCCACCCAAATTTCACCTTGAACTGTAATAATCCCATGTGTTATTGGCGGGGCCAGGTGGAGAAAACTGAATCATGGGGATGGTTTCTCCCATACTGCTCTCATGACAGTGAGTTTTCATAAGATCTGATGGTTTTATAAGCATCAGGCATTTCCCCTGCTGTCATTTCTTCTCTGGCCTGCTGCCATGTAAGACGTGTCTTCCGCCTTCCACCATTACTGTGAGGCCACCCAGCCATGTGGAAATGTGAGTCCATCAAACCTCTTTTTCTTTATAAATTACCCAGTCTCAGGTAAATCTTTATTAGCAGCATGAGAACAAACTAATACAGATGCCAAACATAAAACTTTAAACTGAATATTATAGATCATGAACCTGTAAATCACCAATAAAGAAGGGGGCGAACAGGAAAAAGCTAACTCATTTTAAGCTTTTTGAAGGTTTCACTTTCATCCAATGTACAGAAATCAAAGCCAGCATCGGTTGTAAAAAGATAACATAATTAAGGATCTCCAAATCAAGGAGGAAAAGAGCAACATGTGGGTAAGAGCAAATGCTGTAACTCCAGCATCCTTCCACGAAGTTCTGCCACGTGTCATGAGATCCACAACCCCAGAAACATCATGACCTCCACAACAAGGCCCCTGGAGCAAGGCCCCAAGCTCAGGTGAGACCAGGTCCTGCACAGTCACCCTCCAGAGACTAACTGGAAACCCTTCAACCAACTGCAGGGTAAAGTCAGCAGCAGCAGCAGCAGCAGAAAACCCAACCCTGAGAGCCAGGAGCAAGAGCTTCTGACAAAGGGGAGGGCGGAGGTAGGTCACTTTATGCCCAAGATGATCTTCCTAGATACCTGCTGAGGGGTGGGGGAACCATGAGCATCAGCACACCAGGAAATTGTTACCATATGAACACTGCACCCCACCACCACACACACCTTTCTAAAGTCCTGCCTTTTCAAAAGCTGATGTCCAAATCCCTGCTCGGCACAAGTAACTCAGGGACTTCCCTGCTGGCCCTGCCCAGTCCCCATGTCACACTTCCCCATGGCCCAGCTGCTGCTGCCGCCTCACCCCTGCCTGCCTCTCCAGCCATATCTGGGCTTTCTCTCCATCTGAAACGGCCTCTTGTCCACTATCAAAATTTCATCCCTCTTTCGTAGCCAAGTTTCCTTACTTTCTGGAACTTCTGCTGACCAACTTCCACCCAGAATTAACCTCCTCCTTCCAAACTACAGGAGGGACTATCCATCATCACTTACTATCATCACAGTAGGAAGAGGAACTTAGCCATCACCTGTGCCGGATGTTCCCTCATTTAATTCTCACCAAAACCTAGCATTTGGTTTCTACAGGAGAGAGGAGGAACCTGAGGCCCAAAGAGATTTAAAGCTTCTGACTGTACCAACAGCTCTCAAGGTTTGTGACTGAAATGGTCTAATAGACAAAAGTGTGTAAATAAGTAACCCAGGAAGAGCACAGAGAGATAACGGCAGCTTGTCTGTGTCATGTTTTATCTTTAAAATAAAGGTCATTCTATTGCACAAGACAATGTGTATATGTCTGTGATTATTTTAGTATTGAAATCATCTTTCACGTTACTTATCCTCAGGTAGAACCAGTCCTCCATGCAGATGGACCACACGAGCCTATGAGATAGCCCAATATGACCAACTAGGCCACACTGCAACCTAAGGGTGTGGGGCAGCTTTATTCTACACATTGGACTTCATCCCTTACAAGGGGCCTTTATATCATCCTATCTTATTTTACCTTCACAATGGGCCTGTCCACTGGTAGAATGGATAGTTATTTCCATTATCTCACAGACCAGGAAACTGATTATCAGGGAAAGTAGAAGTGCCTCACCCTATACCTACTGAAGGCCCTGGCAGAGATGGGCACCTGGAGCTTCTGACTCCTAGGCTTGTAATCCGTGTTTCCAACCATCCTCTTCTGTTTATCAGCCCTCAATAGACCCTGCCCCCCGGCCATCTCTCAGACCCATGAAATCCAAATACTGATGTCTCAACTCATTGCCCCAGTCCAGGTGCAGCCTCTGCAAGGCAGGGGGGCTCTGGGTTTCCTCACTTGCCTCCTCATCCCCTGCCTGCTTCACCAGTCTATCATCCCACAGCACTCCACACAGATCATTGTTCACTGACATTCTCAAAGTAACAAGGAGTCAAGAAGAAGAAGAAGATACATTAAGTAGAAAGAAAGTGTAAGGGGCACAACGTGAGGAAAAGGGAGAAAAATTGAAGCAATAAACAACTGAGAGGGCAGAAAAGAGTCTTACCCAAGCAGCAGCCCCAGCTGAGAAGGGCAAACGTGCCTACACATGGATCAAAAAATACAGTCATTCTCAGAACTGTGATATGAAGAAGGCAAACAGGAAAAGTCATTCTGAAAACACCTACTTATCGGTTTCATTCAAAGCACCCCTCTGAACAGAGAGTAATACTTCATAAGTGGAAAGGACAGTCTTGCTCCTAAATGTTTTGCAAAAAGTGTTTAACAAAGGATCATGTTAAGGGCAAAACACAAATATACCAAGAAAAACAGAGTTCAAAATTAATCACTTCCAATTTGAAAACTTTTTAAAATACCATCTGTCAAATAGTGCAAGTCTCTGAAATTGTCAAATCATATATGAGTAGGATTAGTCCCAAAAGTCAGAGCAGGACAAAGCTTTCCCGTCCTGAGCCCCTCCACAGTGCGCTCAGCTGGATACTCCCTCAGGGTCACAACTCGTGAGGGTGGAGAGATTACACAGCCATCACTTTTCCCTGAATCCGTCACACCCAAATCCCCATTTCAGACAGAGGGAGACAACATAATAACTCATGGCAATGGGCCAGTCTTATCCAGACTTATAGGCTTTGTGGGTATAAACCAAGGCCACAACGAGAGTCCACATCAACATCACATTAGCAACGCAGGCCTTGCCCACCTTCATGCTACATGTCACTGTTTTTTAATACCCTAAAGAGAATAAATTAATAGAAGACCATTTTCCAGCAAAGACAATTCACAGGCAGGCTCTTGCTCCCCTTCCCTCTCTGTCACTCACAAGTGTGTAAATATGACTGATGAGATTTGTAGCACTCAAGTCCACATACGAGGCAATACCGCCAATACTAGTCAAATTCCTGTGGTAGCACACACCACTTTTAGAAACAACTACTTCTTGGCTGGGTGAGGTGACTCATGCCTGTAATCCCAGCACTTTGGCGAGGCCGAGGCAGAAGGATCACCTGAGATCAGGAGTTCCAGATCAGCCTGGCCAACGTGGTCAAAGACTGTCTCTATTAAAAATACAAAAAATTAGCCAGGCGTGGTGGTATGTGTCTGTGGTCGTCACTACCGGGGAGGCTGAGGCAGGAGAATCTCTTGAACCCGGGAGGTGGAGGTTGCAGTGAGCTGAGATGGCGCCACTGCACTCCAGCCTGGGTGATAAGAGTGAAACTTCATCGAAAAAAACAACTATTTCTTAAGATGGTAGAACCAAAGCTAATATATGTATCATACACGGGAAAATCTGTGTTTTTATCTTTTTATCCATGTATATAGCTAACATATATGTTTAATTTTTCTACTTTGGAACACTGAACATCATTTCCCACACCTTTTCTTTGACAACAGTCGTGTTATACTATTTGACAAGAACCTGTCAAATAATCATCCTGAGATCTTCTTATGGTACTGAAGGTATGAAAAGAAATACTAGAAAGAGGTTTTATTAAATAAATAAAAATAAGGCTGAAAAAAGTAAATTTAAAAGCTGAGAAGAGAGTACAAAGGAAAAAAGTATTTTATTTCATTCAAAAGGCTTTACAATAGGAAGAGGGAGATAATCAAGAAAAAACCCCATCTTAGTTTACAGGTAGTATCTTCTTACTATTTTTTTGTAGAGACAGGGGTCTCACTATGTTGCCCAGGCTGGTCTTAACTCCTGGGTTCAAGGGATCCTCCCACCTTAGCCTCCCGAAGTGCTGGGTTATAAGCGTGAGCCACTGTGCCCGGCCTACAGGTAGGGTAGTGTCTTACAGAGATGTTAACCTCATGTGCACATCTAGAATCTGAATGCTCACTCGGCTGGTAAAACCAAGAAGCTAATGCTAATAGCACGCTAGTCTGGTTCAAAATATTGTTTAGTATCTTAACCATATTCCAGACACCTTAAAGATCAAGTAAGATGCTGGCAAAAAGGACCAAAGGAACACACTGAGCCTGCAGCAGCTCTGCCCCCAGGACAAGCACTCAAGTGAGACCCCCAGAAGCATCTAGGCTGGGCTCCGCCACCGACCAGCCGTAACCCCTCTGAGCACCAGACTCCTCAGCTGTGAAGCCGCAGGGTTAAACCTGTCCTCTTAAGGCAACCTTCCCGCTTTGAAGTTACACATGGTAAAGAAAGTACTGGCGAAGAGGAAGGAGATAAAGTGTATCGGGGTGCCTGCCCATTCTTAGGCTGTTTAATTAAAAGATTTGTTTTGTCTCTCACATTCTAATAATGGATTTTTCTTGGCGAGAACAGAAAAATTACTTTTCAGAAAACATTTTAATTTCCAAACTTAACCATAATTAAATTTATGACGCCCAAAATGTGAACTTGCTTTTGTTTTCATATTAAGGAAATTTTATCTTGTGATCACAAGCTTTCAGTGAAAGGAGTAGATTGCCTCTCTGAGTAAGATGACTGGTGGATGGATATATATGCTCTACCAGACAGCTTATTAGAAAGAAGTACTTGAATATTACAAAGCACATAGAAGTATCATACTCTCATGCCCAAAGCACACTGTAGTCTGTTCAGTTGTTAAGTGTCATGAAAATTATATGGAGGTCTTAATAAAAAGTTCAGTTTCAGTCAAGGTAAGCAGTTTGACAGAAATATTGGTCATTTACTCACAAAATCTAGAAAATTCCCATTTATTAGGGCTTAGTGTATCAGCACTCTTATGTTCTTTCATGTCATCTCTTTTAATCATCTCACAGTCCTCTGAGTTAGCTATCATTATTCTCGTTTTACAGATCAGACACTGAGACAGAGAGAAATTAAAATATCTTCCCAAAACAGAACAGCAAATCACGGAGCCAAGATTCCAACACAGCACTTCCAACTCAAATCCAAGGATCCTTCCCCTACCCTTAGACGATCTGGGTTATCTTATACTAATAAAAATATGCCATGTCTCAACTATTTAGGTTACTGATATATCAAGATGATTCTCACACTGACATTCTCGCCATAATATGGCCTCCCTATCTGTGCTGGTGCCATTCCTTGACAAGAGAAAATGCACCATAATTTTTCTCAGACACAGCACTGAATATCTAACACACTTCCAAACCAACAAATCCATGATGTCCTTATTTTACAGATGTAAAAACAGAGGATCACAATAGGAAGCTAATCCCTAGTGGTTCAGAGGCTAGGAGAAAGAACAACAAAAACCTAGGCGGCTGAGTAACCAACCTAAGGCACACCCTGCAAATGGTGTAACCGAGGTCTAACGTAGCCTCTGAGGCTGCAAGCCTGAGCCTGGGACCTGATGCTTAAGGTGCTTCTTTTTCCCCAACAAAACCAGCATGGCTTTACTGGATTCTACAGGAAGAATGCATATCAAAACTCCAAGGAGTAACAGTTCAGCCAATGAAACTGAAATTTAAAATACAGCATTTGTTTCTAAAGCATTTGCCAGATCAGACAGAATTCAAAGGTTGGAGCAATGACTGCTCGTGCTACAACCTCAAGGACTGTTTTTCTCTCTCCCCCACTCCACCACAAACACACACACACACACACACACACACACACACACACACACACACACAGTGGTGTGGGGAAGGGATGAGAGGGAGAGAGATGGAAGGGATAAGAGGCAGGGAAGGGATGGAGGGAGGGAGGGAGAGAGGAAATGAGAGGAAGAGAGGGAATGAGAAGGATGAGAGGGAGGGAGGGCATGAGAGGGAAGGAGGGAGGGAGGGCATGAGAGGGAGAGAGGGAGCGGGGGAATGAGAGGGAGAGAGGGAGGGAGGGAATGAGGGGAAAGAGGGAAGAAAGGATGCTTCCAAGTATGAGCAATTGCATTTCCAAGATCAAGCATGGCTAGAAAACATGTAAATAACAGTAACAGAGTAATTCAAATTATGCTCCTCTGCAATTAGCAGGCTCAGTTTATAAACACATTCACCAGAAAGGTTTATGACCAAAGATTAATTTAAGTATTAAATTTTTAAAAGTTCTATACACATAACATTTTCTGAAATATCTCTACTACATAAAATTATGCCCACCTACATAGTTATGCTAGTGATATACATGTGAGCAAAGAAATCCTTTTCTTATTAAATTCTGTTAAATTTCAAATAACCATTATCCTCAGTTCCAATGGACACTCAAATAACAATAGTTAAACTTCCAACCTCAATCCTCTTTTGTTAAGTAGTGAATGCTCTACACTACAGTTGCCATTATGTCATTAATCTATTTCCAAAGTGAAAAATGCCTGTGAAATTCAAATGGTATCTCCTAATTTATCCATTTGATAATCTGATTGGGAGTCACAAGATAATTACATTCTCCCTCTTTCCTTTCCCACTCTTCCCTTCACCTATGTCTTTTAAAAAGTTACCATGAAATTTACTATGGATGAATGTGAAACGATGGCAGCAGTTCAACACCTCATCACTTCTTTTTTTTAAATGATGAAACTGAGATAAGGAGGGACTTAGGAACAGGACAAATGGGACACACGGGCAAAGTCTTCCATGTTCCAAAGCTGCTCTTTCATTTTATGTTAAAACTGCTACTAACAAAGCCAGTCACTACTGATCTGTAAGTCAAGAAATCACGGTTAGCTGCTGAATAATCAAAAGTTATTTCAGATAATCAAACTCTCTAGAAATTTTCCAATTCACGTGTTTAAAAGGCTTTGATTAAATACCTGTTCCAGCAACAACAGAAATTTCTTTCATAATACATGGCCACATACCTAGAATAGTTTGCAATGTAGTCGAAATGACCCAATAACAGCAACCACAAATGCAACTACCAATTTACCAGTTACTACATACCAGGAACTGAACTAGGTAGGTTACAGTACATAATCTGCACACTCACAGCAACCCCATTTTCTCCCTGTTTTACAGATATGTAAACTGAAGTTAAGAGTTTAAACAACTTGCCTACTATCACAAACCCTGGGATGACCTATGTCAGCTATTTCCAAACTCGTTTGTCTGAGGATTTCTTTATAACTCAAAATTATTGAAGAACCCAAAAAGCTATGGTTTATATGGGTTCTATCTTTTGAAATTTATCAAATTGGAAATTAAAACTGAGAAATTTTAATTTTTCTTCATTTTAAAATAACAAAAGTTCATTTATGTTATAATAAAACCTATTTCTACAAAAATAACTTTCTCAAAACAAAAACTGATGAGATGATGCTGTTTTGCCTTTTTGAAAACCTAATGTCTGGCTTAAGAGAAAACAACTAGGTTCCTGTATCTGCTTCAGCATTCAATCTGTTTCACTATGTTGCTTTGGTTGAAATGCAAAAATATGAAGAAAATCACAAAGTCAAAGAACACAACTCACTGCCTAGACCCGTTAGACCGCTAGCACCTGGTAAGATTCTGGTAGAAGGTGACATGCTATTTTTTAGTTCAAAATAATTTTTTTAAATATCCAACCCAAACAAATATAATAGGAAAAATCATTACAACTAAATACAATGTGGTTGCTCCTTAAATTGTTTAGTTAAAACAGAATACTTGTGCCTTGCCAAGTAAGGGGCCCGAGGGCTTGCTGCCCTAGAGGGGGTTCAGGGTACTTTCCCAACTCAGTCTTCCTCCACTGCTCCCTGAAATGCATGCAACCGTCACCCCATTGCACAAACCAGAACACAGCACCCAACACATCTCTAAACCACGTCCTGTCAAGGCCACCACTTAAATCTGTCTCAAACACAACCCTTCTCTTCACTTCCACCATCTTCCACCTAGAACACACCTCCTCCCCACATATCTAGTCTCAGTCATTCTGATTCACTCTCTGGAGGAGCCTGCCAGCTCTGTCTGTCTCTTTTTCTCTCTCCCTCCACACTTACCCCTTGGCTTAAGCCCCTTCAATGGCTTCTTACTGCTCTTAGTAAAAATACCAAAATTATTACTATAGCCTACACAGCCATGTTTAGTCTGCTCCTGCCTACCTTCAGGGCTCACTGACCCTCGTCAACACACGCATGTGCTCTCTCGTTCCAGCCAGACTAGCCTTCCTCCAGTTCCTGGATGGCAACAACACTCAGGCCTTCCTTCTACACAAAACACCCCTACCCCAACCACTCTTCAGGTCTCAGCTCAACCACAGTGTCTTCAGCAAAATCTTCCCAAAGCCCCAGCTGGGATCAGGTTCTCTCTGTTTTAGGCTCTCAAGGAACGCACCTGCCACATCAGGTGGCTTGATGTGGGTTATGAATGTCCATCTAGCCCATGAAACTGTAAACAACACAAAAGCAGTGACAGCATCTGCTTCGTTCCACATTTTAACTCAACGCCTGCTAATGAGTAAATACATAATATCCATTAGATGAAAGGACAGCATAAATGTGACAGAATATACATATATATGTATAGAAAAGAATGAGTCAATCAAGACAGTTGGTAAATACATAATATCCATCAAATGAATGAAGGACAGCATAAATCTGACAGAATATACACACATATGCATAGAAAAGAATAAGTCAATCGAGACAGTCAGTCCAATTTACTTTCCTTTATCTTCACCACTAGGTAATAGCTGGTATTTAACAGAAGGAAGGGGAGGAGTTGGACATCCTGGCTAAGTGGCACCTACCGAGAGCCACCGCCAGGTCGAGGTGGGGCTGGATCAGAACAGAAATGGAGCAGCTAGGATCCTCTCAGCCGCAGGCAACTGTCAGCACTTGTTTTGCTGCTCTTCCCTACAGGGATGGTTTAACTTCACTCTGCTTTACCAGGAACTCTGACAGGGTCCAGCTGACATTGTACTTCATATTTTGGAAAATCTCTGACGCTGGTTTCAACTTCCTTGTGACCTATGTTATTTATTTACATCTATGTCCCTGTGGGTCACAGTAAACCTTCCTTCTACTGTATGTAACATATATGTATGTGTGTGTATCTTAATAAATATTATCACACTGAAATGCATACTCATTCACATTTATGGCGCACTTACGTGCCACATGCATTCTTCCAGTTAATTCTTACAAGCTTTGCCGAAACCGGGGGTTACAGGGGATATGTGACTTAAGTGCCCAGGGCCACAAGCAGCAGGTGGCAGCGCCACCACTCAACCTGGCTGCACATTAGACTCACCTAGGAAGCTCAACAAAATGGTGACATCTGGGGGCTTCCACAGGACTGGGATGGGCTCAGACAGGACACACTGTAAAGCCACAAGGGGCATGGATCCCATGGGTGCTATACCCGGCCAGGCGGCATCTTCCCTAGTGCCTGCCCAGTTCTTCACTCCAACATCCTCCTGCCTCAGTCCATACGGCTACCAACACTGCTCGACTGACAAGACTCAACTCTGTCCAAGCACCCCAGAGCCGCTGGTGCTGCCGCTGATGTGGCAAGTTTTTCAAAGATGTTTAATAAATTTGTGATAGGTTATATGGCATTTAATTACTGCTTTAAAGCCCCCAAATGTTAAAAGGATTTCATTTCTGCTCTGTATAAGACACAAATATACTTTAAAAAGTGTACAAATGTGTCTGAGGCACTTTTTTCTGGAACAGTGGTTCCAACCCGGTGGGCCAAGACAGGAAGTCCAGAGGCACAATGGCTTCTCCTCATTATAATTCAATCTAATAACAACGAGGGAACCGAACCACAAGGCCAAGTGCGACTGTGATTTGGCTGTGGAAATTTCACTCCTTCCTCAGAACAAAACCAGGAGGTCCTTTCTGTCAGTGTTTGCCCATGCTAATTCAGAATACTGCACCAACGGGGGAAAGGTTTCTGAAACATTTCTGGCCTGAAGTTAGTATTTTACGTTTTGGACAAAGGGTCCCAGGAATATAGATATTGGCTTTAAAGTCATCATTGGTTCAGCGTCAGAGAATCTGCAGATAACTGCCACTTTAATGTACCACACTGTCAAAGCAATTTTAATAACATTTTTTAAATGTTACACACAATCCTGCTTTCCTAAACACAGCATTTTAAGCAGTATTTTGCTGCTTCTTGATGCCCACCCAAAGTCACTGTCCTAAACCCCAGGGACTGTATTGATGTGACGCAGCAGCTGCTGCCTGCAGTGAACTATGTGTATCAACACTAAACGGAGTTGCAACTGTGGGGTTTTCTGGGGTGTCAGCTTATGTTCCTACAGTTTTTGTCTCCTTCTTCACTATCAGGCCAGCTGGAAAACTGGACAACACAGCATGTTTGCAGAGAAGGTTTGAGAACAAAGACCTAACTGCCACTCGGTGTGTGTGAGAATGGGCATGTATGCCTGTGAGTGGATTGTGAGAATGAGTCATGTGCCTGTGTGAATGAGAGCGTGTGCGTGTGTGTGTGAATGAGAGCCTATGTGTGCATACGTGTGAATGAGGTGTGAGTGTGCGTGTGAATGAGTGTGTGTGTGTGTGTGAATGAGAGCCTATGTGTGCATACGTGTGAATGAGGTGTGAGAGTGTGCGTGTGAATGAGTGTGTGTGTGTGTGTGTGTGAATGAGAGCCTATGTGTGCATACGTGTGAATGAGCAGGTGTGAGTGTGTGTGTGAATGAGAGCCTATGTGTGCATACATGTGAATGAGAGCCTATGTGTGCATACATGTGAATGAGCAGGTGTGAGAGTGTGCGTGTGAATGAGAGTGTGTGCGTGTGTGTGAATGAGAGCCTATGTGTGCATACGTGTGAATGAGCAGGTGTGAGTGTGTGTGTGAATGAGAGCCTATGTGTGCATACGTGTGAATGAGCAGGTGTGAGTGTGCATGTGAATGAGCGTGTGTGAGAGCGTCTGTGTATACGTGTGAATGAGAGCACGTGTGTGCATGTGTGCCTGTGAAGGACAGCATGTGTGTGAGGTTAATTCATCCTGGGAGCAAGGGAGGCCACATAGAAGATTCAGAGAGCAGAGGTACCATGAGCCAGTAAGAATATGGAGTAGTGTTCTACTGACAACCGGAGGTTTTAAATTTAAATTTTAAAAAATTTTTAAGGAATAAAAGGTATAAAATTAAATAGGAAAAATGAGTCAAAAATGAGTCAAAAAAAACTACCAAAAGCTGAACCAATGATGACTTATTTTGACACAAAATAAGTCAAAAAATGTTTTAAAAAGAATACAGAATAGCCTTTAAGAGTTCAGGCTCAGAAGCCAGGTTTTCTGAGTTCAATCTGACTCCCCCACTTTGTACCCTGATGACTGTGGGGCAGTGACTTAGCTTTTCTGTGCCTCAGTTTCCCCTCTGCTAAATGGCGATGAGTATCCACCTCATAAGATCATTACAGAGACTGAGTTAAAACTCACCCAAGATTGAGAACCATATCTGGCCCACAGAAATTACTGTATTTATGTTTACTGGCAAGAGAACCCTCTGAAGAGAATGCAGAATGACTTGATTCAGATCTAACAGGACTGGTTATAAGAGTAAGGACCGAAAACAGGAAAGTAACTGAAAACAAGGAGGATGGGCTGTAGGGAACAGCACCCTAGAGGACAACAAGTGACTCAGCTCAAGAAAACAGGCATCCATCACAGACTCCAGTCAGCAGGACCAGCCAGGACAGCGCCGGGCAAAGTGGACAAAAGCCAGAGGGGCATGAAACTGTGTCCCTGACAAAAGCCACCTGACGCTTCTAAATACCAAGTGGAGGCAAAAGAAAATTAACTTGGCCTTAAGCTGGAGGTGAAAAAATGAAGGCAGACCAGCAAGCTCTGTGTTCCCTGGGTCGGGGGTTCTAGAATAACACAGAAACAGAGCACCTGCACAAGACTAGAAGGCACTGGTCCAGTGAACCTGCGTCAAGCTGAGTATCAGGAGACTGGAGGTGGGATCCACACAATTGGAAAGAGAGTGGTGCCAAGCACCCATGGTAAACCATGCCTCTGAACTTCCTGCAGCACAGAAACGGGAGCTGGTGAGGAGGAGAAAGGTAACAAAAGGGCTGCGAAAGCAGGAATGAAGTTAACAAAGAAATTCCCTCTCCCTTTACACTTGTCCTAGAAAGGTGACCCAGGATGAACACCTGAGTGGGCTTCTCCAGAAGCGACCTGTCCAGCCCATGTGGCTGTCCTCACCAGGTCCTTCGAACCTTGTCCCTACCCAAGACCCAGCCCCAAAACAGAGCCGGCACTGGCACAGGGGCACACAGCCTGACTTCAAACAGGCCTATGCACTCGGTTGGCCATGTAACTAAGAAATAAACGTAAGTATGCAAATTTACACTTGACTATGACTTGCTCAAATTTAGCTTAAAATACTGCAGGGCATGATTCTGAATTAGTGAACAACAATACATTTTTCACCTCAGTCAGCCAAACAGAGTTCAAATAAGATTTTGAAATTAGAATTCAGACTCATTTTCATCTAGGCTCTGAAATAACAGTTAAAAATTAGTCTCTGTTCACATTCAGCTTAGGTTTGATGAGAAAAACTACCAAAAGCAAGCATCTGTTTTGCAGTTTGAAAGCATATTACTTTTAAAAAATTTACTTCACATTCAGTCTCTATTTTTTGTTTGTTTGTTTGTTTGAGACAGTCTCACTTTGTCACCAGGCTGGAATGCAGCAATGCGATCTCGGCTCACGGCAACCTCCACCTCCCGAGTTCAAGTGACTCTCCTGCCTCAGCCTTCCAAGTAGCTGGGACTACAGGCGCCTGCCACCACACCCAGCTAATTTTTGTATTTTTAGTAGAGACGGGGTTTCACCACACAGGCTGGTCTCAAACTCCTGACCTCAGGAGATCCGCCCACCACGGCCTCCCAACGTGCTGGGATTACAGGCATGAGCCACCGTTTGTTTTCCAGTGAGATTCTGGAATGAGGCAGCAATTTCCTCATGAATCGGTCATCGGGAACTGGGTAAGGTGAACTCTCCAGAATCCCCATTAGGTGCTGAGTTGCACGACAAACATGGTCATCTCAAACTCAAGACATGCAGAAAGAGTAGTTGCAAAGTCATTAAAAAGCTATTGTGCCAAGTCAGAGGCCTCAAAACATCACAGCAGCTTCATATCTTCACAAGAAACGAGGGGACTAGTGAGAAAGAGCCAGGAAAAGCCAGGTGGGCCTGGTTTGCAGGGCTCCCCACTTTAGAGCCACTAGGGTCAGATCCACTCCACCTCCACTGCTCACCAAAGCAAACAACATCAACTTCACCAAACATTCCTCTTGCCACAGGGCAAGACATGATTCCTTCAGCATCACTACATCCTCCCACATACAAAGGATGCAGCATGATGCAGCTTTCTTTAGGAAATCCGCAACTTAAGTGAAAACTTCTTGCATTTACATACACGGTGATTCTTCCACTATTTTATCTATAAAAGACAGTCACAGGAAAAATCATGCAAGCATAGATACAGGACCTAAATTAAGAATAAAAAATTAAGAACAGAAGTCAGCAAGGCTTTTCATGTAGAGAAAAATAAAACCAGGTTAAGAAAGAAACCATTTGCAGGACCAAAGGGCACCATTTATTTTGAACAGTGCTTAAAAAAAAAAATAAAAAATCACACCCATAACTATTTCTTCTTTTAATTAGAAAGTTTGCCTAGAAATTATTAGTCTGTCAACCTATTTCCAAGTTTAGCAGAGTAGACAGTCACACTGCTGTATGAATTACCTAAAAGTATGGAAACCTAAATTATATACACACACATACATACATATATAGGTGCATGTGGAGAGAGATACATACACACACATACATAGGTGTATGTGGAGAGAGAGATATGTATCTCGTACACACACATATTTATGTAAATGTATATAAAGAAAGAGAAACAGGAGATAAAGCAGTTAAGATCAATTTGCAGGACTAATTGATTTGTATATCAAATGAGTTGATACGCATCTAAAATGAGCAGTATATCTAATGAGGTTTAGTTCTGAATAATCTCCAAATAATTTCTCCAATAATTCCCTCAAACCTGTAACTTAGCAATTTAAAAAAAACTCCAAATTGCCCAAAAAAAAAAAAAAAAAAAAAAAAGCGATGGTCTACTACAACCCGTCCTTCCCCCATGGCCCATGGCCACCACCCTAGCACCTGCGCCAGGTCGCACGCCCTGGACCATGCCTGGATAACCTTCTCTCCTGTCAGCCTTCCTGTCACTTTCCTCTTTCTACCTCGGATCCAACCTGTGTCATTCTGCCAGGGTTGCAATATTTCTAGAACACTTCTTTCACACCATTTCTTTGCTTAAAATGTTTAGTGCTCAAAGGGTAAGTCCAAATTCCTTCATATCACACCACATTAGAGATGCTTCACAATCAACCTCAACCTACTTTTTAATTAAATGTTCTTCAAGAATTCCCAACTCATGGTAATACAGCTGGGCACTCACAGTATGTCAAGATAGTACCCTACTTCACATGCATTAATTCACAAGAATATTAGGACATATATATTATTATGTTCCCATTCTACAGATGAGGAAACTGAGCACAGCACAGTGAAAGAAGCCGCCTACATCATATCTCACATGAGCAAGCAAAGGGGCCAGGGTTCTGGCCAGGCATTCAGGCTCCAGAGCCACACTGGGAACTGCCAGGCTGTGCTCTCTCTACCTCCACTGTCCCCATACAGCCCCCAAACATGAGCACCTTCTCCTCTGAGCTCTGAGGGCATGTTCTCAGTTACTGCTTACCCCATTGGTTGTCACTGTTATGGAAGATCATGACCACACCACCTGAGGGCACCGCAGGGACCCTGCGGACAAGAGGCCCCATATCTAAATCTGCCCATAGGACATGGCTGCCAGTGCTTCATAGATGAAAACTGACTAACTTCTCGGTAGGCTCAAGCAAGGGCATGTATTTTTCTATCTTGTTCTCTCCATCTTCTCTCTCCTAGTGGAAGAAAGCTTTGCAGCACCGTAGGTTTCCTTGAGAAAGTGTGGTGATCAAGCTGGGGGTTGGGGTTCCCCAACCTTTTCATTCCTCCATCCCAGGCTATAGGCAGACACAGCTACATATTTGGTGTAGAACAAGTTCATTAAACCTCCATCCAGGCCAAGAAGAAAGTTTCCTATTTCCCTGCTCCCTGCTGTTGATGTTCACCAAGTCCTGATATAAAAGAGAGCACTTAGGCAGTTCTGTTACATAAACTCTAAGCCCTTCACTAAAATCGAAGCTAAATGATTCGGTTTCTGCTTTGCAGCACAAACCCCATTTTATACTCAACAGTCTCAGGCTCAAGCTTTACTGATGATTGTTCCTAAAGGAGACATATTCCAAAAGGCCTGGGCTTAGAGCTTTTTTAGACTTACTGGAAATGGTACCAGCTGAATGTCACACAGCATCTTGCTGAAGGCTTTTGGAAACAGCTGATGAAAAAAGAGAACAGATTGCCGGAGAGGTGAACTATTCCTGGCAGCTTCCTCTTCACTCTCCCAATTCTGTCAACCCAGAGACATGATTAGAGACCCCTCAAGAATGCAGTGAAATATCTTACAATTCTCTGGAGCACAGCAGATTTGGCTCTGATAGACGGCTTGTTCATTATTACCAGACTGTGAAAATTAAAATAAATTAATGCCATTAAAAGACACAGGTCTGATTCCTTCAAACACCTAAAAGAAGCCACAAAAAAAGCAAACACCCTAGAATTAAAACTACATGACCAAAAGATCTACAAAGCTCTTAAGGAGTTTTGCTTTAACCCTCCCCTTTATTAACACAAAGAAAAACATGCTCAAACATTTCAGCTAAAACTGACCATCATCAACTTCTCTTTCCCTCATAGATAAAACTATGAAAGTAACAATCATTTCATATTTTTAACAGTCCTATTAGTGATCCCATTTTACAGATGGTGACATCAAGGCAGAAAGTAAATGATCTGCTCAAAGTCACATGGTAAGTGGTGGGTCAAGACCTCAGACTCAGATGCCAGAGCCCTGCTCTGGGCCGCTCTGCTCCACAGCTAATGGGATCAGCTTGTCTTCTTACTCCCTGAAAGCCACTGTGGAATGAAAACACCTCTTTGCAATCCACAAAGATGACGGATTCTAAATACCTCCTTGACAGAAGAGCTGCCCTGAGAGCTCAAAGCAAAGACTAGCATTCCATGTGGTCCCCAGCATTTCCTGGTCATCCCTGCAATCAGCTAGGGTCACAATGGAGCATAAGAAGTAATGTGTCTCACTTCCACAGCAAGGCAGTAAGTATGCCTCTCCTGTCTCTCTGTTCCTGCTGAAGAAGGTAGCCACAGGATGGAGGAGGGTTAATCTGCATGGCTTTTTTAAGCAAGAAATACACTTTTGCTGTTCAGTGGGTTATGAAAGCTAGTATTAATGACTCTACACTTCAGTTTCTTTCCTGCCGTACTCAAGCTGGGCTTCTTCTTGCCTTGTTTCCTGTAGCCTAGAGTTTGGTCCCACTGCCACCAGCGGAAGAGTTGAATTTGCTCCCAGAGGCCATCCACAGTAATGGCTAGAGTGATCTCCAGGGCAACAAGGCCATGTAAGCAGGTGGTCCGCAGCCCTCCTTCCAACTGGGCCCCATTCCAACCAACTATTAAAGGCTGCCCGCGTTCAGAACCGGACACTAACGAGCAAATAAAGCATGCCACATCGTTGCATATAATAAAAAAGCCCCGAAGGCAACAGGGAATCTTGCTTTTGTTCTGTGGTATCTTCACCACCATTTACCCAATTAAGTCCAACTTCGAAATTCAAGAGATAACCAGGTAACTACATGGCATGGTGCTTCCCTAAACTCATGACTTATTTTATGACCATTTCCAAAATTAGATTCTAATTTCTCCCCAATCAAAAGGATTTTCTATTTTATTTTTTTAAAAGACAGTGTCCCACTATGTTGCCCAGGCTGGTCTCAAACTCCTGGGTGCAAAGAATTCTCCTGTTTCAACCTCCCAAAGTGCAAGGATTACAGGCATGAGCCACTATGCCTGGCCCTCCATTTTAAATAGAGTGCTGCATACCTGGCTAAAGAGCACATCTGCAGAAGCCCTCCAATGTCAGCATCATCAAAGTAACCGGCAGGTAGCCAAGGACAGAAGTAACACCTTGCAAGGCCACACACATATGTACCACAAGTTTCCCAGTCAGGTCACATGGCACTGAACAGCACCCCATAGGTACCAGTGTCATAACCTGCCAAAAATGTCAGTTTTCTTCTTTGATCGTTTTTGAAGATCAGCTGCCAAAAACACTGTATAAAGCTGGTCTTTCAAGAATGACGGGGAAAAAAGAGCAACTATTTCTTCCTGACATCCAGTATACCAATTCTATACTTTTTAGTATAGAAGAAAAGATGCCTTTTTAAAAATCACTGGTTTTTATGTATAAAACTCTCTGTCTTGATCTGTGTAGTCAGAGCAGGCATGACCACCTGCTTCATCCACAAGATGGCTGAGCCCACACGTGAAAGGTACGGCAGGAAGGAGCTGGCCGACAGCCCGATATCTGAGTGGGGCCATACATTCCCAACTTCTCCCAAAACCTCAGCCCGACCCAGGCTTCTAAGCGTGCGACAGAAGCTGGGAAACTGGTGTCAGCAGCTCTGACTTCTCTGCTCGCATCCTTTCTGTCTCCTGCCAAGAGCAGAGGAGGCAGATGTGAGCAACAAACACCTTCCCAAGCAGTCTCTGCTGGAGCCTGAGAAAAGGAGCCCAAAACTAATCACACCATTATCCAGGCTGAAAGCCCTTCTGCATTCAGGACCCGGCTCCTTCTCCTCTCAGAGTCCACAAAGCCCTTCTGCCTTCAGGAAAGGGTTTCCATCTTCTCAAGGCCCAAAAAGCCTCTCTGCCCTGAGAATCCGGCTCCAACTCCCTGAGGGCCAACAAAGCCCTTCTACCCTCAGGGCTAGGCTCCATCTTCCTAAGGCCCACAAAGCCCAACTGCCCTTGGGACCAGCCAGGCTCCATCTCCTCTGAGGAACACAGCCCTCCTGCCCTCAGGACAGGACTTCCATCTTCTCAAGGCCCCAAAAGTCTTTCTGCCCTGAGGACTGGGCTCTATCTCCTCTGAGGGCCAACAAAGCCCATCTGCCCTTAGGACCAGGCTCCATCTCCTCTAAGTGCATGGCCTGCCCCTATGCCACCCTCCCAGCTTTATTGTGCCTCCTGGCTTTTTACGTGCCTTAAAATCCATCCTCAGGAAACTACTCATCTTCCCCCCGAAATACATCAAGCTTTGCCAAGTTCCAGCATCTCTGCCCCTGCTGTTCCTTCCGCCTAGAATGATCCACTTCATCCTGTGTCCTTGTCTCTTCTTTATGGAACTAAGTCTTTGCATCCTTCAGAGCAAGGTCACTCTCAAGGCACAGCTTGACAAGGCTTCAGCTCAACTGCTCAAGCTACCCCAAGTACGCTGCGTTTGTGATGCACCCTGCTTCCAACCAGACTGTTACCCTAACCGCCTTTTATGTGTGGCAATTCCGGAGCTACCACTTCAAAAACCAGTTCACATCTCACCTTCACTGTGAAAATCTCATCTGGCAGTGAAGCAAATCGCTCCCTTCCACCATGGCCCCAACGTGCTGAAGGCATGCTGCAAAAGTTTCACAATTAGGAGATGTACCATGGAGTCCTGCTCTGAGGCAGGCAGGTCTAAGATTCTCACCCACCCAATAATTCCCGCCTCCTGGTACCCATACTCTTATGTAATCTCCTCTTCTAAGTGCAGGTGGGGCCTGTGACTTGCTGATAATCAACGGAATCGTGCACAGGTGACGTCACCTCTGTGCTAAGGCAGCATGAGACAGTGACTTCCCCTTGGACGTTGTCTCTCTCTGGCTGACTCTGATGTAGTAACTACCATGCTAGAAGAAGCCACATGACACAGATCTCGGGGCAGACTCCAGTCAGCAGCCAGCAAGGAAGGAACTGTGGCCCTCAGTCCTGTAACTTGAAAGAAACAGAATCCTTCCAACACCCAGGTTCTGCGAGGGAACCTGGAAGGGGATCCTCCCCAGGCAAGTCTTCAGATGAGACCCCAGCCAGGGCAGTACGTTGACTGCAGCCTCGTCAGAGACTGGGAAGCACAGGACCCAGTCAAGCCATGCTCCGACTTATGCCCCACAGAAACTGTGATAGAGTCAATATGTGTTGTCTTAAGCTGCTACATTTCTGGTGATTTGTTACACAGCAAGGAAACTAACAGAGAAAGAATAGGCCTAGAAAACCTTGGGCTAAAAAACATCTTTATTTGCAAATCCACACTCTCGACGGCAGCTCAACCATAGCGGGGAACTGGTGAAGTCCAGGTCAGCGTCCATGGCTTTGCTTCTCTTCCCTTTGTGAAGGGGGGTGACAGCAACGTGCCTGCTGCATATCAGAACCCCTCTCTCTATCCTTCACTTCTCAGTCAAGTTCTGAAAAGTCAAGCCTCCAAATCTCTACCACATTTCCTGCTTGAGTGCCACTGGAGACTTTTTCTTCTCAGCTCCTGACATTCCCACAGCCACAGGCTGGGCCTTGAGCTTGCCTGCCCTGCAGTTAGTGGCAGTCAGCCACTCTCCTACTGAACGCTCTCCTCCAACGGGACAGCACTTTCCCCGACTGTCCTCTCACTGTGAGAGTGCTCCCTCGAAATCTTCAAACAGCCTCCACCCCTGCCCATTCCACACTGTGTGTCCCACAGCCTCTGTCCCAGGCACTTCCAAGTTTTACACAGTCTTGCTCTGCAAGTCCATCCTTTCTAATGATAAAGCTCAAATATACATTCTTAGGGCAGAATCACATAGGTCCAGTGACTCACTGCACATCCTCACCGCCGTGTCTCACAGCAGCTTCAAATTCTAAACATAACAAAGTAAATCATCCTCCCTTTAGCAACTTTTGTTGTCTACTGTATTTCCAGCAGTGGTGATTTCAGTCACCAATACCCACTGACTCACCACCTAATTCACCCCGCATTCCTTCCTCTTTAAACTCCCCGTATCCAACCACCCTGAGTCCAACCAGTTCCACCCCTAAATGTGTCTGAAATCTGTCCCACCTTTTCCAACCTTCCTTCAGACCTCTCACGACCTCCCTCTTTCAACTCATCTCCCTGATTCCAGTCTTGGCTTCTTCTAATCTGGCTCCCAAGTGTCCCATGAAAATGGCACACAAATTACCTCTCAGTGTCTTCCTTTCTTGGTTCCTTCCTTCTTATCCCTCCAACAAAATGCCAAGACTCAACCCACCATTCATTCCCCAGGCACTGTTCTGGACAGGACACTGGAGATAGAGCAGCAAGCAAAACATGGTCCCCAGGAAGCAGCCAGTGTTTCCAGCCTCCAGCTGCAATTACACCATCCCCGACCCAGAGCCTGACCTCCATCCTCTTACTCACCGTGCAAATTATTTTTTTTGAGACGGAGTCTCACTCTGTTGCCCAGACTGGAGTGCAGTGTTGTAATCTGGGCTCACTGCAAGCTCCACCTCCTGGGTTCAAGCAATTCTCCTGCCTCAGCCTCCCAAGTAGCTGGGACTACAGGCATGTGCCGCCACGCCCAGCTAATTTTTTTGTGTGTTTTAGTCGAGACGGGATTTCACTGTGTTGCCTAGGCTGGTCTTGAACTCCTGAGCTCAGGCAATCCACCCGCCTCAGCCTTCCAAAGTGCTGAGATTACAGGTGTGAGCCACCGTGCCCGACCGCAAATTCTTAATTAAATCCTCAACACTTAGGCTGATGTCCCCTCCTCTGAGAACACTGCCTTCATACTTCCCTACCGCCGGCCCTTCCCTCCCTCTTCTCTGCAGCCTCTGGACTTGCGAATGCCATGATTTTTCTGTCAAGTGGTATGGCAATTTATCTGATTATATCTCCCTCTGTCCTTCCATACTCAGTTCCTCCAGGGTTTCTATTGATCTCTGAATCATCCATGCCTTAGCACAATGCCTAATTTTTTGAGGGCAATCAATAACTGTTAAGGTAACTGAATCTCCGTCTGCTGCAGATTGAATTACTGTGTCCAACTGCCCACTCCCTCCCTGTGATGAGGTTACAACTCCCCCACCACTAGGCAGTCACAGGCTGTGTCCTTGCACACAGTGGGAGGTCACTTCTCCCCCTCCCTGACCATGGCACCCTTAGCCAATGGGATGGAAGCAAACATGGCATCTTCCCCACCTTGCTCTCCTGCCCTTTCCCATGAGAACAGCATGTCTCAGACCCAGACAGGAGCTGCTTCTTTGGTCTGGGTCCTGAAGGAAGACACTTGGACCCAAGCACAGCCCTGCAGAGCCACAGTTCACCCGCAAACTTCCCACGATATGAGCAAGAAATTAAGGCTTGTTAGGGAATGCCACTGAGATAGTGGCGTTGTTATCACAGCAAATCCATTCCGGATTTAAACACCTTGGTATCTCCCTTCGATACGCTATCCAATTTTGCCAAAATCTGAAAATGTGGTCTTAGAACTGCACTAAATACAACAGACATGGCCTGACCATGGAAGAAATCTCTCAGTAGAACACAAAGCCGAGCGCAGTGGTGGGTGACTGAAATCCAGCTACTTGGGAGGCTGAGGCAGAAGAATCGCGTCAACCCAGGAGGCAGAGGTTGCAGTGAGCCAAGATCGGGCCACTGCACTCTACCCCGGCAACAGAGTGAGACTCTGTCTCCAAAAACAATTGTCTTGGGTTTCTGTGTTCTTTCCCAGGTATGGGTGAAACGCAGGTTGTCAGATGGAAGAAATAGTCCACCTTAACCCTGTCTCAAACAATACTGAGGTCAACCCAAATTCCTAGGCCTTTATACCAGAAGGTATTACAGAGGCTCCTGTAACTAACTATAGCCATTTTACATGTATCACTGCTAAGTCTTTTTTTTTTTTGAGACAGAGTCTCGCTCTGCCCCACTGGCTGCAGTACAGAGGCATGATCTCGGCTCACTGCAACCTCCGCCATCTGGGTTCAAGCGATTCTCCTGCCTCAGGAGAATCCCCAGGTAGCTGGGATTACAGGCGTGTGCCACTACGCCCGGCTAATTTTTGTATTTTTAGTAGAGATAGGGTTTTGCCACGTAGGCCAGGCTGGTCTCAAACTCCTACCTCAGGTGATCCTCCCACCTTGGCCTACCAAAGTGCTGGGATTACAGACATGAGCCACCGTGCCCAGCCTATCACTGCTAAATCTAACACACCAAGATCATGTAAATCCTCGGCCATTCAACATTATTAACCTTCCTAATCTTTTTGTTTCAGATTTAAGAAACAGACCTTTCTGTCACCTAAGTCCCTGATGAAATTACTTAACAGAGGAGGGTCAAGGTCAGCGTATTCTGACAAAAGACTAAAGACAACTGTCCAAGTTAAAATAATGACAACGAAGTTACACACTGTTTAACCAGTCAGAAGCCCCCACCTTCATATACTACCATTAATATTTCCAACCAATTTCTCAATATTCTCCAAAAGTTACAAGTCTTCCCCAAATCCATCAACACTAAATATACCAGCAGTTCTTTAGACCAGCGGCATCAGCGTCACCTGGAACTCTAGAAATGCAAACTCCTGCCCTGCTCCAGACCTACTGTCTGTCTCACAGCCCAGCCCTCCAGTGACACCAACGCAGCTGTGGTTTGCGAAGCAGAGCTCTAGCGCATTTGCCTGCTCTTGGAGTAACCCTCTCAAAACTGAAGGTGGTAGGTTTGCACGGATTTCTTCTTCTAGCACTTAAGCTTGCTTTTAGTTAGCTATTATTTGTTTTCCAAATGTCCAGAAACTATTTAATCAACCTTTCTATCACCTTTGCCTGGAAGCAAAGTCAAGCTCACCAGTCCACAGTGCACAGAAACTCTTTCCTCCCTTTTTGGAAAATCAGGGCCCTATTTGCCTTATCTTGGGACATTTTTTTTCCATTGTTAACAATTTCTTAAAATTTATCTGCAGCGCTTCCGTGGTCACATGGGTTAGTTCTCTTGGCCTCTGGTACATCATAATTTTTAAAAGAAAAAAAATCTCTTAGAAAGTTCCCTCCTAATCTGGGTTTCATGCTGGCATGCCAACAGAGCAGGCGCTGGGAAGAGGGGTGGAAAAAACCAAATGGTTCAGTTGACATCCTCTTCCACTTACGGAGCGTGTCTCTTTCTTGGTCCTGTTTGAAATGTAAAACTCTTTCCTGTTTTGTTTTGTCTTCAGCATTTGGGTACGACTCAACTTATTCCAAGCTTTAACACTGTTCAAAGTCCATGCTTACCATGCCTCTGTCTCTGGTTCCCGCCTCCTAGGTGACAGGGCAAGGTTGATATTTTACCTTCCTTTGCTTTTCTGTACTATCTACGTTGTACGGAACAATCACGGCGTGATGGCTCATGCCTATAAATCCAGCAGTTTGGGAGGCTGAGGTGGGAGGATCACTGGAGCCCAGAAGTTCAAGATCAGCCTGGGCAACATAGCAAGACCCTGTCTCTACAAAAAATAAATTAGCCAAGCATGGTAAACATGTCTGTGGTCCCAGCTACTCAAGGTGGGAGGAATGCTTGAGCCCAGGAGCTCATGGCTGCAGTGAGCCATGATAATGCTACCTCATTCCAGCCTGGGAAATAAAGCAAGACACTGTCTCAACAAAATAAAATGAAACAATCACAGATTACTTTTTCACATGGGGCAGGAAATCTTTACATTTTTACTTATTTTTACTTTATTTTAATGGAAGCTCTTTGGAGTGCTTCCTATACTGTCTTTCATACTTGGGAATTACTGTAAATCATGGTTAAATTCAGACTTTTTTTTTTAATTTTAGAACTGTATCTTTCTTTTCCCTCTCTGTTCCTCAGCCTCTCATCACTATGGCGAGACCTCCAGTGCTTTTTCTGTTCACAGCTGTTATTTCCCAGCTGCCTACAGTCACTTCACAATGACTCACGCTTCTTGAAGGATGGGCCCTAATACAGATGCCCAGACAGCAGCTGCAGTGGCAACACACCCTCACCACAGCCAGCGCCCACGCCCGACTCGGTATGAGAGACTCTCCCGAGAAGGGGATCTGAAAAAAGGCAGTCAAGGCTTTTAAGCTGTCATTGATCTGACCTGGGTGCACCCCAGCAAGCTCACTGGCATGCAACTTTATTCCAGTGGGATGACAGTTGCAGACGCGGGACCTGCCTGGGAAGGCAGCTGGCCACACTGTGCCACAGCCCCCAGCCTGGATAGGATCGGGAGCTCGACAACTCCCGTTTGCAATACACGGCCTCACAGCCATTGGAAGAAAAAAAGGCCTCCATTTCTTTTAATAAGCTATTTCATAGGGTAAATCTGATTTCTGCTTTCATCTCTGCGTCTGGGTCAAGGCAAAATAACTCTTTTTGTTTTTCTTCATGACTAGAATAAAAAAAAAGAATTAAGCAGGGCAATGAAAGGAAAGAATAGCGGCATTTATGATGAAATAATATAATTTGCTTGAATCCATTTCCAGTCTAAACCTCTGCTTACCCCATCTTCAACATTCTCCAGTAAAACTAGGAATTTTTTTGTTCTTTTTCTCTTCTGACAAATTTCATTCAACCCATCATATTACTATTGCCAATTTTGAGAGGGAAAATTTTTTTTTTTTCTCAAAGGAGAGGGAGAGGGAGAGAGAGAGGAGTTAAGTTCTTTGGGAAATTTAGAACTGACCTTTCTCCTGGCAAAACAAATTTTTGTTCTGTTTGAAGAGGTGACTGGCAGATAATCAGAAGACAACGTGCCCCGTGATCCTCTTGCAGATTCCAGGGTTCCAGTATCACCTCCAGCCACGCTGATTTAACCAGACAGACAGCACCAGCACCAACGAGCACACCTGCAGCTTCCTTTCCTGGTAAGCAAACAGTCCTCTACACAGTCCTCTGCACTCATCTGTGCCTCTCAGCTCCCTATTCTATTCCTATTAAACCCGAGAAGGAACTACTGCAAGGCAGGAGCTATCACCAAGAATTCTAAGCACAGAGCTCAATATAAAATTCTACAAAAAACAGGAAATGCTGAAGCTGGACACAGCTGAAATCCAGCTGCCACCTGGGCCAGGGTCGGCCAGTCGCTGGGCTCTGCCCTAGGTGCTGCTGCCTGCCCTTCAGAGCACAGTTACTTCAGTAAACTACTCCACAAAGTGTACATTCGAAAGTCTCTTCTCTACCACCTTCTCCTTCGCTCAAAAAATAAAACAAAAATAAAGTGTAATTAGGGTAACAGTTCAATGCCACAGTGTGCCTACTATTAAAAAACACACAACAGTCTGGAAAGTCATGCTAGAGTTTCCACAGCAACTGCACCATGGCTCAACTTGTACCAGCAACCATTCCATTCCAAAATGCTTTAAAAGACTCTACAAAAGAGAGAGAGACGTTACCATCCTAGGGGAGGAGAAAACACACCCTTGTTTTCATGTACTTGAATTCTCCCCAACAAAAATACTGTTTAAAGTACATATTGCACCATTAATAAATATTCCT